CAGAAAGAATCTGATTGGCAGCAACTTAATTTTTCAGCATGACACTGCTAATGCAGTAAAAGCATACCCGAATAGAAACATGCACAGTGGAACATTATCAGTCCGTTAATTGGCCTCCCCAGAGCCCAGACTTCAAAATTTTCGAAGCAGTGTGGGATTATCTTGACAGAGAACAGAACAAGAAGCAGACAACATCCAAAGAAGAGCTTTGAATGTCCTTCAGGAAGCCTGGAGAATTATTCCTTAGGGCTATTTAAAGAAATGACAGGAAAGCTGCCAAAGAGATTTCAGGCTAAGTTTAAAAATGAAGGTGGTCATACCTAATATTCACAAGCTCATTAGAGGATTCCCATGTATGTTTGCATGTATCTGTAACAAAGCACAACAAAACAAGGCTTGACTTAAAACTTTGGCACCATACTGCAGTTTAGCTGAAATGATCTTTTCTAAGAAAATACTCTTAAACATATTTTAAGGATAGAAAATAAACCAGCTATTAAATAAATGAAAAACACCCCATCCTCCTGTAAACCCTTAGTTCATTTGTCATGTTTCCTATGTACAGTTTTTAAGACAGCTGATTATGTCCAAGATCCATTTTTTCTTAATGTTTCCTTAAAATTTAGTTCAGAGGTGTGTGCAGGTTAGCTGCCACTTGGGGGTGCTAACATGCAAAGTACTAGGAGCCATCGTGTGTGCACTGTTACGAGAGTCGTCTGTGGGATTTCTAGTAATGCAATGTGCAAGAGATGTTTGAATAGCTGCCAGCGTTCATGGGCTGGTATGCACTTACTCCTCTCTGCTGTAGAATGCTCCTCAGGTGTGAGAGAGCCTCATATTGCACTCAGTACTAGCATGTATTTCTTCTGTTAAGATCCACATTTACAAAGGCTGCTCTTAGCCTCAACTCTGTTGACAACTACTTTAGAGTTGTATCCATTCTCAGTGTCCTGTCTGACAGTTGATGCATGCTTGGAAAGTCCAATAAGACGTTAGCAACTGCATCAAATTATTAATTTAATATCGATCATTTAAATTATGAGTCTGAGAGCTCGCAGTTCTACTAGCATGACAAATACTGTCAACCTTTGCCCTTCTATCAGACAGTGTGTGTTATTTTTGTAAAATCCCAGTTCTTTGTTTCCGATCTTTCTGTCTTATCTTCTTTTGCTTTTCTCTTCATCACTTTCTCCACATGTAGGAAATAATTTTTTGAGAAATACACACATTTTGTAACTAGAGTACTTCATGTTGCCTCCACACAGGCCGATTCTGCCTCTTCTTAGCGGCTTTCATAAAATCTTTTCCCATTACAAGAGAAAAGCAGATCAACTCAAATTTGATCAGCTAAAAACAGATCAAACCTGGGCTTGCATTTGCTTCCAAAGCAAATTTCTCTACAGCTAACTCCCAAACATCAATGAATGAATGTATCCAATCAAATTTAGAGTCTGTGAATTCAGCTAGTTGTTTGTCAGTGCAAGTAAGCACTTTGTTTGTGATCCATCTCCTCATCTGACCTTAATTTTGTTGTGTCTTGTCCAGGAATGGATGAGTGTGGGAACAACCTTGGGGCAGATTGCTCTAGGCCAGCTGGCTGCAGTCAGCTCTCAGTCCCTGGACAGTATGGAGACCAGAGCTCACTGCATGAGCCTAATGGGAAAGTACATGAGACTGCTGGCTGTGCAGGAGGATCCCATTTATCTGTGTTCTCTGTGGGACACACATAAGCAGGTGCATAACACAAAAGTTCAGCTATAGCTTTACAGGTAATGCAGTCCTATGGGCCATAGAAAGGAAAACTGTAGAAACTTTCATTCATATAATTTCTCTTTATCTGTGGAAGTCAGAAATCTTGGAGAACAATCAGGCCTTTTTGGATGCAGGCCCAGATACACACATGCATGCACCGGTGCACAGATGACCTAACACGGGGTTACAAGCTTATAGTGATTAGAGAGATGGATATTCTTTTACATAATTTAAGACAGAGAAGCTTAGAACTTCAAGGTTTGTGATCATGATGCAATTTTATACTAATCATGATCTTGAAACAACTTTGTGCAGAAGGAAGCCTGGGCCGGTTCTAAAGCAGTTTCCACAGAGGAAGGGGATTCACAGAAAGACAGAGGATCGAGCAGAAAAAAGCTGCGAACAACCTCTGCCAAAAGTTCTGAGCTGCAGGTACATACCCTCTGACAAGTGATCCCTGCACCCTAGACTCATCTCTAATCTGTGGTTTTATATTAAGGATTTCCCCACTTCTCAAATCCCTCGGAGGGAACTTTCCAGGCATCCTGCATAGTTCTCATATTGAAATTGAGCACAGAAAGATCTCCTGTAAACATCAAACTTGCAGAAGAGAAAAGGGAGGAAGTGTATTATTTATGTGGCAAGATTTTGGAATGTTAAGTAAGATTCGGTTTTGACGTGCCTGTCTGCTTTGAGATTAATGATATTGTCACGAAATGTATTATTCCTAAAATCCCGGCGCCATTTGAATTTTATCAAAATGAGATAATCACCTGCACAGACAGCTTTAACCAGTTTCTCTATTATGCAGTTTTATTTGGGGAGGTTGGGGACTGCGCTTTGCCTGTTAAGCTAATTCTCTGTTAGAGAGCATGGTGGGGTAAGATGAGGTTTTTTGTTGTTGTTGTTGTTGTTCCTTCTTTTGACTTGCTTAAGTTTACTTAATAACACTTGTAGTTAAAGAAATATGAGGAATTAAAGCACCATTTAGGACTGTTATCTATTAACTGAAACCTTATGAAATAAGTAGTGATCACAGAAGTGATCATCGTGGTCTACATGCTCCACACCCTATGTAAAGATAGATCAAGATGCTGTTATTGTTGCTGTACGTATGCTTTGTACAGTGAAACTGGAACATGTAAGAGCATGTAAGCATGTAGAGAGTATTTATTATTTACATAATATCTTTCAAATGAGCCATCGGAGAAACCACTTGCAAACTATTTTATAGACCAGATTTTAAAGCGCATCCTTAAATATTATTATTCATAATTAAACCCTTAATATTGCTGAGTTCTTGGGGGGCAGAAAATACATTTAACACCAAATCTGTTTACACTTATTGTAAAAATGTTGAACTCTTTATTCGCTGCAATGATTTGCTTTTTACTTTCGATGTCAACAGTATTTTTGGCGTCTAGATAACTGTTTACCTGATAAACGTCACCTCCAATGTAGTATAAATACAGAAATATCTGCACATCATATTCAAATGGATTATGCTCCACATGCTGACAGGAAAAACTATGATTTGAAATTTCTGACAAATTGCATTCCACTGTCTGTGTTCTAAGGAAAAAAGCGGTCGAACCCTTGACGTAAAAAGCCTTGAGCTCGTTTTGCTCCACAACCACTGTTTTGGAAAAAGTGCTCGCTTTAACAAATCACACTTACACTGTTGCCAATGTAGTTACACATTTCTACACACCTGTGATATAGCATTATAACCCTAGGAAAATACCTTTTTACATAAAACATATATTGTCTGTGAAACCAAAAAAAGTTTCCAAAGGCAAGAAACTTGTAACGTGGGGTGAGGCTGTCAGAGCTGGCAACTTGGTGTATCATTTTTAGCTGGCTGGTGTGTGTGCGTCTCCTCGTTCTCCTCCTGTTCTCTGTTGTGTGTTTTTCACGGTGAAACAGACACACATGAAGCGAACTTGAGCAGACAAGTGAGGTACAGTGAAGATTGCATTATCTTAGTTGACAACAACATGTTAAGTTACTCTAACTTAAATACTGCATGTGCAAAAAAGCTTTGACAGTTGTGTTTAGTTTTAACTGCTAGCACATAAGTATGTTCCAGTGTGCTCTGAACACAGTGTATTTTTTCATTGTTTCTGTGACTTTATCGCTCCCTTGACGTGCTGGAACAGCCTCCTTCTCTGTGTGACAGGACCTTTAGATTTACATATTACTCACTGGATTTTCATATCTCGTCTAAAACACTTTCACCATATAGCAAGAACTTAACTGTGAGTGTATGGGGTTCACTGATACAGAGCAACTACAGGGATGCTATGTAGACAAGCAACAGAGGGGTGAGGCAGAGACTAATTTGCATATGTATACAATCACAGTTGTAGAATTTGATTTTAAGCCATATGCAGGGGTAACTTTCATTAAAGAGAAGTATACATTTTTGTTATTTTGGCTCCAGAAGTCCTATTTTAACATGCATGTAAACATATATTTACAACTGCATGACCATGATGTGTACATGTGAGCTTCTTATGTTTCTTTATTCTGCTACAGAAAAGCCAGAAAGCTCAGCAACTGTTGGCACAAGCCAGCAAAGCACTGGCTGAGTCCATCAGCCTATGTCTCCAACACAATTTATCCTCCTCCATCTTGGCCGGTGCATCTCTGAACATGTTGGAGTGTCATGGCCAGTCTGACCCTGCAGTGGCAGGTCAATATCTTGCCCTTCTTCAGGTACATGCAAAATACATTCCTACTGTGTTTTGCAAAGATGATGTGTGTGTGCTCAGATTTTGTCTTTGCTTGCTTATGATGTTCTTTAATAAGAACACTTATGGTAATTCCTTAAGATTAACCGCTCTTTCGTCCACCCGTCTCCTTTATTCCCAGAGCTGCCGCACTGTTGCTGTGATGGCTGAGGTCCTAAATTCTGCTTGTGCCGACACCAGTGCATCCCAGCTCTCAGCTCTGCTCAGCATCCGCAGGAATCTGCTTCTTTCTCTCGAGGAGAGACCCAGCAGCATGATAAGGGAAGTGGAGGACTCCCTCAGCAGCCTCTCCAAGGTAGCAGGTCACCAAACACCCATGCTCATGATTTATGGATTCTGTCATACCCAGCTCAGTAAATTCCCTTGATGGGGAGCATAATAGTGGTGCCGTTATGCCCTTTGCTTCAATTGCACTGTAGGGTTCCAAAGTCACACAGAGCAGTGGAGCTGGAAACATTTTTTGGGGCTTTAAAGGGTTTTATGTCAAAGCAGCAAGTCCAGTGTCTGACGTCTTTGTAGTATTTGCAGCCCTGTGAGCATTCTGGGCAGCCAACAAATTTTATCAGAAACAGTTCAATGTTTTGATATTGGCTATAAAATGAAATGAAAGAGTTAAACAGCTGTTTATAGCTTTAGAAAACTGCTGCTGAGACCTCCTAAACATATGCATTGAAAAACTGATGATAGACAGGCATTGACACAAAGGAGAATAAAGGAGAATATTAAAGGAGAATATTTAAATCAGCATTTATGGACGAGAAGAATATTTAGGAAACGGTAATAGGAATGAGAGAATTTGTAATTTCTGTCATTTGTAATGTCAGAGAAAGATGTTGTTTTCAGAACATACCAATTTGCCTACTGAACCAGTTGTTTCCCGGCTGTATCCTTCCAGGGGTAGCCTCTAGGGTAGAGTCTTGATGGAGGGTTGTGGGTCTCGTAGGTCACAGCGGGTAGAGCCATTCATCTGGCTCTGCTCACTGTACTGCGCAGCGACCTGCCCCTCATTTTAATTACACTATAGTCATTAAGGTTCACAACATCATCAAACACATAGGGCTTTGGGGGACAGGTGGGCTAACCAGCAGTTGGTGGGTGGGGCTGCTGTATTGGCCCCATTCACCCCTTCACTGCTATCTGCCCCTCAATTTTGATATTAAGGCTCTCCCAGGTACTGGGTTATTCTTGGGTCCCTGGAGCCCTGGGATGCTGATCCCGGCTCGCACCAGCCTCTAGTGGGGTTGGCTGCCCATCGCCCCTGGTCATCTGGGACTCCCACCCAATAGAGTCCCAGATGACCATGTGCGCCCCAACGGTCTCTCTCATTCTCTCTCTCACACTCAAACCACAAAAAGATTGATTTATGTACCTGTGCATTTTCGAATGTTTATGTTCCCAGTGTTGTTTGTTTTTCTTACAGGTGCAGCAGTTGGCAATACATTGTGCATTTCTATTTGTATTTTATCATTTTATTACATCTTCCCCAACCATTGCCATTCCAAGGAAGGCACTGATGTACATCCATACCATCAGAGACGCAGGCTTTTAAACAGAGACCTGAAAACAAGTTCTCAATTCTTTAGTCCAGAGCACATGGCGTTCATGTTTTCCAAAAAAGGCTTAAACAGCTTAATCCATTTTAAATGTATGGAAGAGGATTAGGGCCACTGGGGGAAAAAAAGTGGGCACGTCTTTTTTTTTTCTTCTTTTTCAAAATTCTGAGATTAAAGTCGGAATTCTGACGTTTTTCTCAGAATTGTGACTTTATCTCAGAATTCTGAGATTTAAGTCACAATTCTGAGATTTAAGTCACAATTCTGACTTTTTTCTCAGAATTCTGACTTTTTCATCAGAATTATTTTTTTTCTCAGAATTCTGACTTTAATCTCAGAATTCTAACCTAATTATTTATAAAATGTGCCTCCAGCTGTTTCGTTTTTGTGTCATTCACTTTTGCAGCTTTTTGTTGCCCCTCTCCCGAGTTGTCAGATGTATTGCTGTCATCACATTCAAAATGAACTATGATTTTTAACACAATCTTAAAATGTCTCAGTTTGGACATTTTGATATTTAAATGTTACAGTGTTCCAACTTTTTTGGGATTGGGGTTGTGGAATTCAAATGAGAATTTTGCTCAGTAAGATCTTTCATTTGAGAGAGAGAAACAAAAAGCAGTTGCTATGACTATATATACATTTGTGATCTTTACTATCTGATTTGCAGACCTTCAGCCACCTGACAATCATCCCCAACCACCTGAGCATTCTGGGAGAACTCCCCCCCACTCTTAAGATCTTGCTGCTTCAGCACTCTGAAGATGGGTACTTTATGTTTTTTCATTTTCCATTTTATATCTTTGTTGTCTCTTTTGTGTAACTTTTGTCCCCTATCTCAATAGTATTAAAGCAACTGAGTGAATAATCACAGGTCACAAGTCACACTAGTTGTAGTCCTGTCTGGAGGAGCTGAATGAGCCCAATGATTCATGTTGAGAGTAGCATTTAACGTGACTAGAGAATTCTATGTTCTTTTCAATTAAGTATGTTCTAAGTAAAGGTGATGCACCACATATTTTAAGGGTTTATAGTTAAAGAGTAGAAATTATTTTCCTTTTTGTGTTGTTGTTTTTTTAGGTCACAACTCTATGGTGGTTTCTATGAGGCAACTAAAGCTCAGAAGGGAAGGACACCACAAGTTACAGGTGTGATACATATTTTTAAACTAATACTGTTGAGATAGATCTTTAGGTGGGCACTGTGTCTAAGCCAAAAAACTAAGCCAAAATGCAGAAGCAGTGTATAAAAAACAAATTTAAATACATTCACTGCTTCCATATGAATTTAGACGGTAAGTAACAGCTAGGTACTGCTAATCAAATGCTGTTGATTCTAGAGTCAAATATGAGGCAATCTATTCGAGAACCAGAGCTTGACCCACAAGCAACAGGACATGATCCCAAGTACAGCAGCAAATCTACAACAGGATGGCTGAAAAAGAAAAGAACCAGTGTGTTGTAATGGTTCTGTCAAATTCAGATTTTGACATGGCTAAAATGATGTAGCGGGACCTTAAGACAGTTGTGCATAAAGGAATCCCCACAAACCTCAATGAACTGGAGGAATGTTACAAAGAAGAGCCTCAGACTTTCTCCACAATAATGTGAGAGCATGATAATTATACAGAAAGCAATTACATGGTTCTAGAAGCTAGAATGGTGTATTTAGTTTTTCACACATTGCTTCTGCATTTTTCTTTACTTTTTTGTGACATTTCATATGTTGTTGTTGGCCTAAGGTTGCATTCACCAAATTTTATGAGCTGCTATGGGAAACAGATGATATTTTATTACACCCTAATATATAAAAACTTAGAATTGAAAGAATGTGTACTTTCTTTTTCTCTGTATCTTTACACTGCATCTAATTTGCATCTGCATCTGAGGAATGTGGTCTTTATCTCACACATGCATCATTGTTGTCTGCATTTATACATAACAAGGCGAATTTAATATTCCCACGTAACATTTGTCTGAAAGGCAAATGAAAAGT